TAAAAAATTTAAAGAAAGGTGAACCATGTTTGAGGACAAATAAAGCACGTGTCAACAGCAAATTTTGAGTAGAATTTTTCATTTCCGGAAGAATGCTTTTCTGAAGCTTTTCCAGGTCATAAAATTTAGTGATCGTATACCAATCCTTCTAAAACAAAATAGTTGGCTGCAACAAACCTTCAATGTGCCAGGGTACCCTACAGCGTGCACAGTGGACTACGTCAAAAACTCTTCCTGGGTATGGAAGTCTCTTAGTACCCATAACAGCCGATATAGCAGGAATTCCTCTTTCGAGAGCAAATTGAACCTGAGCTTCATGTTCATCTTTGGGAGCCAATGACATGGTAAGTGTGTCCCTTTCGAAAAGAAAGCCCCCGAAGCTAGCAACACCACATCCAACATCCAGTACCACACGTGAGTGTTTTCCCCAGGCAATTTCCGGCACAGACTGCACAACAATCAATTAACATGAGTGAGAAACAAATAAACTTGAATGATCATACAAAGCTTGATTTGTCCAAAGAAAGAAGACGACTTCAAAGTCTTACTTGCTGTATGAAATCGATGTAATGGAGAGCACCATTCTTAAACTGGGTGCCACCTCCAGGAAAGGTAAGATATTCACCACTAACTTTAACCCAATTCTGGTGTCCTTTAATTTCAGCAAGTTTGGTATGGGGAACATTGTGGTACCATATCTGTAGGAAAGAAACAATAGAAATAATGTGAGAAAGAAGAAAACTACAAAAATGTAGCTCAAAAAAATATTTTTTAAAGTACTGCACCTTTTCACGGCTTGTGGGCCATTCAACTGGGCGTTGGTATCCTTCAGGAAGTGGAACGAGACAGGTGGGAGGATTGTCGGGACAGTGCCTCTCCCTATGTTCATAATGCTTAGTTGATCTAAGGTTCTTGATTTCTTCCACATTGTCAAGGCATGGAATATAATCTGTGCCAGCAGTGGTATTGCAAAGTTTCCAACTGTACCCATTTTGGGCACCTGTAGACTTTTGGGCATCTTTCTCATTCTTTGATTCGG